TTCACAATTATAATACAGTCAAGATGTACAGACTTAACATTATATGAGGCAGTATCAGACAGATGTAGATTTGACTCTGTGTATGAAGATCAAATGGTTTTATCTGTGGCTGTATTTAGCTGTGGCTATGTGTCAGTGTAATCATGCTCCAAACAAAGGTGAGGAAGTTTTACAATTGTGATGCAAATTTGGTCCTGTTGAAACAGGGAACCAGCCTGAGAATATGAGTATGAGGTGTGATCTGGCTCAAAATGCTTCAACACCAGTGCTTTTTCTTAAGTAGCATGGATAAAGTGCAAAGTTCAGAGGGATTGAATCCTGCTGTGAGGAAAGCATTTTCATTGTTAAGACAATTGTGAATCACACTGTGGCCACATGGCAATTCTATGCTCCTGTACATGGCTTAACTGCAGCTATATGGAAAATAGCAGAGTGTACCACTCAGGAGACAAACAAACTCAACATAGACACACATGCAACTTGAAATTGCTATGCATGAGTTATTCCAATTAATTTTCCATTTCCATTTGGACATTTTCACACAAGACACATTGTCTAGTATGCATGTAGCATCTACAACCTTTAACCCCCTGGGGCCGAAGCTCGCACCGGTGCGGTCTGTCTTGTATTTTCTTGATGACCGCGAAAAGAACTAAAAATACTCCGTCAATTTTGACCATACAGATAAGAATAAGGTATCGTTTTAAACTGCAAAGGGTCTTTTATTTGTGTATAGCCATAATAACAACAAAAAATGTACTTTTGTAAAATAAAGAAAATAAACAGGGTGCGCTCTCAGTCCTCACTGTCTCCGCGAACTGCTTTTAGAAACGCATCACTAAAATGAACTGAAACTCAGCGAATACTTTACATACAGACATGAGAAATATATCTATAGAAAGCTTGACGTGTCTACTCTTAAATGAAGTAACTCCGAAAACAAATATTCTGTGATAAAGTAATCTGTATGAAACCAACGACAGGTCCAGTTTTTTCCATCTGTTCTCATTATCTCTAATTAGATCACGCCCACGCGCTGCTCGCGCTATTGATATTACAAATCTCCACGTGAGACGCGCGACATGTTTGACTTGAGTCAAACAGGCCCACCGAGTTTCGGTCCGATCGGCCTCCGTTAACCTTGTCTAATAGGTGCTCAAACTTCAGCGGCCAAAGGCGGCCATGTTTTTTTTTTGAGATACGCAAATGTCCTGATAGACTCTTGTGGCTCTTTGGACCAAGACCATGCACAGCGATTTTCATGTTGATAGGACAAATGGTTGCGTAGTTGTAGCCATTTTTATGTTTTTTCCCTCTTATATCACCAACAAGTGGCCAATCTCCGCAATTTTTTTCCCCTGTGACCTCAAATTGAGCTCTTACATTCCGTTCAGGAGTTATAGCTAGTCATTTTACTAAAAGTGGCCCTGGCCCTTTCGAACATTTTGACGTCCCTTTGCGACGGTGAGTCGAAAGTTCATTAATGATATTCACTCTCCAGAGAAGCTTTCTGCACTGGTTTGGTTCCGATCGGGTGAAAAACCTAGGACTAGTTCGCAAAAGTAGGTTTTGTGAATGTGAAATAGCCGAAAAGGCTCACAATTGAATCTGAGGCATGTGTTTTGATCGGCATGAGCCAAGGATTCCAACGACATGAGACACTTGAGTCTGTGACTGATGGTTTAGGAGTTATGAGCAATTTCGTACTTTTGCTCGCTGTAGCGCCCCCGTCAGGCCGATTGGGGTGAGACTTGGGGACGTTGTCGGCGGTGTGATTACTACAATCCAGAGGCGGACTGGCCATCTGGATATTCTGGAGAAGTCCAGAACCTCGGCCTGGCTGGTTCATCATCAAAGAAAAAGTGTGAGATTAAGTGGCGTTGATGGCTGACAAAAGGGGGCGCTAATGCAATCTATTTTTGCTTATAATAAACCGAATCTGACGTGAAGGAGAGTGGGCTCGTGATGGCAAGCAAAAGACGTGAGGATAAAGGCGGTTGGGAGAAGCTAAAAGGGAAAAAGCGAACAGTTACATCAGGTTACCTCTGCCCGCCTCTCTCACTATACACAGCATGTAGCCTATAGCACTGTAGTAAAATCCCAGGACACCCCTAGAGCATCCACTGCTATTTATCACTCCGCATTGTCTGGCATGAATATCCCATTCATTCATAAAGAGACAGCAGCGATTCTACAACGGGTTACATTTGA